ACTAACCCCGAAAAAATTCACAATAATTATAAAAAACTTTACAAATTTGAAGGGAAAAAAGAAGAAGAAAACTCTATCTGCCAAGCACAACAGTGGAAGTGATCTCATTAGAAGAAACAATATATTGTTGGCTCGAATCAAGAGCAAAGTTGACATCTATGGAGTTCCTTCTAGTGGAAGTAGTAAACGTTGGCTGTCTTGGCACAGCGAGCGTCGATGTGTCACTCTCTAACATCAACAAAACTGCAGCCATGTTCGGTCTCTCCGCAGCTGAGTCTTGAACACATAGCATTGCCACATGTATGCATCTCAAAGCCTCACGCTTATTGCACGTGGCCCTTATCTTTGGATCCACAAGCTCCTCTGATCTCCCATGTGTATACAGATACCAAGCCTACAACAGTTTCAGTTGCCACCATTAATTAGACCACATAAACCAAACCAAAATGTGCATCAACAATATATAAATGTGGGAACAAGAAGATTCTATCTATTACTTGGTTTTGGGAAACTTACATAACCAATGAGACTTCCATGTTCAGAAGACCGAAGACTTGTGTTCCTCTTCCCACTTATGATCTCTAACAACAAGACACCGAAGCTGTAAACATCTGACTTCACCGAGAAAAGTCCTTCCATTGCGTATTCTGGAGACATGTATCCACTACATTTACATAAACCAAAAGTAAACTGATAAGAACATGATATCTCTATAGAATCTTTTTGATATGTTCTTGAAAATGTGTTTTGTACTTACTAAGTTCCAACAACACGAACCGTGTTAGCTTCATTTTGGTTACCACCAAAGATCCTAGCCATACCAAAATCTGAGATCTTTGGATTCATCTCTCCATCTAACAACACATTGCTAACCTTCAAATCTCTATGAATGATTCTCAATCTTGAATCTCTGTGAAGATAAAGCAACCCTCTTGCAATCCCTTCAATGATCGCAAACCGAAGTTTCCAATCTACCAACTCTTGTTTCGTTTCATCTGTAACATTCAAAAGAACAACAATAAGAAAAATAATCAGAAAGAAAAGACTTACTTCTTTACCAAGAAACATACCGAAGATGAAGAAGTCTAAGCTTTTGTTAGGCATGTACTCATACACAAGCATTTTCTCTTCACCCTCGAAGCAACAACCAAGTAACCTCACAAGATTCCTATGTTGAAGCTTTGCTATGAGAATGATCTCGTTCTTGAACTCATCAACTCCTTGTCCAGATTTACCAGACAGTCTCTTCACAGCTATCTCTTGTCCATCTTCAAGAACACCCTAACCAAAAGAAAAGAAAACATTTCAATCATCAATATAAACACCAAAGAGTTAGACTAGAAACAGGCCTAATCAACCAACCTTGTAGACTGGTCCGAATCCACCTCTTCCGAGCTCATTCTCTCTGCTGAAGTCATTAGTAGCTTTTACTATAACTTTCAAACAGAAAACAGGTAACTCGGATGTGTTAACTGCTTTTCCTTCAATCATTATGTCTACTGATCCTGTAAACGCAGTAGTTGTGTCTTTGGCCTTGGTCATATCAACAACAACAACCGATGTATCGGCGTCATGACCACAATATGTTCCTGAAACATCTGCAAATAAATAAAATCAAAGATTAAATTAAACTAGCCATGCGGTTTCAGTTTATTTTGGTAGGATATTTTCGGTTTCGGTTGGTTTGGTTTAGCCACAATTCCACAGAAATAAACCGAAAAATCTAAAATAATCAAGTTTTCGGTTTATTTCAGTTTTTAAAATTCTCTGAAAATAATTTAATTTCGTTTTTTTAAATCCCGGATTTTTTTTTGTCAAACTCAGTTATTGTTCATTTTTTATGAGACTCAAACTAACCAAATACCAAACTAAAAACTGAAAACCAAAGTATTTTCAAAATATATCCGAACTAAATTGAATTCAAAACCGAAACTGGACCGAAAACCAGAAAATTTCGGTTCAGTTGTTTGGCTCGATTTGGTTCAAATCTGTAGGGCTAAACTACACTAAGTAAAAAGAAAAAGAACAGAAGTTGTGTACCTTTCTTTCTCTTGAATCTCCATAGAAGCAGAGCAAAGACAACTAACAAAACCACACCAACAACAACCACCACAATCACCACAATCTTGGTTTTCTTGTTCCCTCCTATCTCAGAATCAGCAAGACGGACATGAAGAGAAGATCCACCAGCTTCAAAATGCTGTAAGTCTACCAAATCTTGGTTCCATATCATGCATCCAATACCATTAACAAAAGTAAAAGCTGTGCAAGAACAATTATTCAGACACCTCTCTTTACAATCCTCAGGATCAGCAAGACTATGCTCAGAAGTTTCAAAATCAGGCAACTTCACAGACTTCAAAGTCAAAAACTCATCTTCTCCAACATTACTACTAACATTCCTCTCACACTTCAAAGGTGTTCTTCTCCTACAACCTCTACTCCAGTTCCCTAAAGAAACTGGCTCATAACCTTTAAGACAGCTACAGATTCCGTTATCTCCTTTCATATCACATATACCAAACTTCCCACAACGGTTATACTTATCACACTCACTCTCTGGAGCAGCCTGAAACTTACTCCATTTCCTAGAAGTCTCGTTCCATCTAAGCTCCTCTTCGGTTCCGTTGTGAAGAACCTTAAACCTAAGCAGAACGTTTGGGTCTGAAGGAACATACGTGAAGTACACGCTACCTGTTTCATCTGGTGGAGAAGAGAGTTTGAACCCGTAAAGAAAGTTTGTCAACAAAGCCATGTTAGGTATCCCTGTGAAGATAGCTGAGTTCCATTGTCCGCTTCTCCATCTTCTCGTCTTGTTTCTTCCCCAGAGTACAATCTCTGGTGCTCCTGAAGGATCAACACCTAAGGAGTAGTTACCAGGAGAAGGGTCGTTGTCTGATCGCCACGAGACGAAAGCTAGGTTATCCCCTGTTTGAGAGTTCACACGAACTCTCATGTTAGGCAAAAACGTATCCGTTGGGTGGTTGAAACTCTCCCAGATGGCTCTCTCTGAGGTTACTTCTAACAGCTCGAAGTTTCCTGTGTCACGTATAGCTCCAACTCTGTTGTTGTTGTTGGTTGATGTGATGTTTGAAGACCAGACAGTTATGTTTTGTCCGTTTTGTAAGACGAGGTTACCGTCGTCGCTTATTGTAAGAACTCCAGATTGGTCTGAGATGGGAGTTTCTCTGTTTGCTACCCAAACGACAGCTTTATCTTCTATGTTTCCGTACCAGATACCTAGATAACGACCAGTGGAGGATCCAGGAGTGAAGAAACCTAGCTCGAATGTCTTTTGTGGAGAGACTAAAGGCTTTTGATTTGGACCGTCTCTAAGAGACTCGCCTCTTCTGATTGTATCTTGAGCCATGGAAGATTCATAGAGGAATAACAAGAAGATGAAGAAGAAGAGAGAAAGAGAGAGTGGAGTTCTGTTAAAGATTCTCATATTTTCTTTTTAGTTTTTTAGCGAGAGACACTAGTGAGGATGTTTGTAATAAAGAGGAAAGAAGAAGAAGAAGAAGAAAGATAAGAATGGTGGAAGCTTCGTTGAGGGATTAAAAAGTAAAGAGAAGGTGACAAAGGAGAATAATACAAGAAAGGGACGGTGGCTGTTTGTGCGACTTACTGTTTGAGAAGTTTCTTTATATATTTCGTTTTCATAGTTGGAAAGTTGGACCAGAGTATTCAACTAACTAGACCCTTTGGTCTTTTTATCTATTGGTTGCTTACACGATATTAAAAAAAAAAAAGTCAAAATGCTTGGATTAAAAGTCACCTTTTATAAGGTATTATTGCATTTCAATTCTTTGCTTTTTCAACATTATACAACCTGTAGACATGTGTTTGAAGTATGACCTAATTACAGAAAAATTACATCTAAATTTTTTCAACAGTTGCAGCTTAGGTGATTGATTAGAGTTTTCAGTTGTTTAACGTTTACTAAGATTACTATGAATTAAATTATAATTTTGAAAGAAAATAAGAGGTGTTTGTTGCACAAGTGGAGCAGGCAGCTTTATATATTAGTTTAGTCTAATAATGCTTTAGGATATTTTGTTTTAAGGCATGTTGGTGTTGCCGTTGGCCGCCACATTGACTCATGTGGTCAAATAATCAGCACATCAGATTTGGAGGGTCTTCTCTTTATTTTATTGCACGTGAAATATTATACTATAACTTTATATTCATTTTACTGTTGTTTTATCGCCTAAAACCCAATGATACGCAAAACTTAAATCCTATTATTGCATGACGTTTAAACCATTCCTGACAAAGAATATCGAAGAAGCCAAATATCAAGTGGGATATACACTACTGGAAAGTGGCAGCAAGGCATATAATGATACAATGCCAGATCGATTTTTTAAAGAATTTGCATGATTGATTAATTTTTAGTGGATTAGCTGAATCAAAAGTGATTAAGGTTAGTTTAATTGAGAGAATCTGTCTACTAGGACTATACAAAAATACTCTGAGAAGGGTCCACCGTCCACAATGCGGGTCAAGAGTTCTTATCATTACGTTATTTAGGGGTTAGGACAAAGTCGATTAAATCCACCAACACTATATTGTCTTTGATATAGACTTCTACTAACCTAAACGTTATTTTACACGTGATACAATTATCTATGATGTTCACATTTATAGACTCCCTCTCTAACTTTTTTTTTTTATTTAAGGAATTGATGTTTTACATTTTAAGTAATCCATTTCACTTTAAAAGCAACATATTAATTAAATATATAAAAATATGAGTGCTAAATTTTATTAAGAAACAAATAAAACTTTAAAGTAACCAAAAAACTGTACCAAAATTAATAAATAAAAGTTTGAAAAAACCTTAAACATCAATTTTCAAATAAAGATGTAGTATTTCTAATTGTTAGATACCTAATCTTTCCATTTTCTTAAGTTTAGATGTTATAAATTTTTAAAATGAAGTTCATAGACCTTTCTTTTAGAAAATGAAAAAAAAAACAAAATTGAGATTGGCTTGCAAAATGTACAACTTCCTCACTTCCTCAGTACTTAGAAACAATTAGGTTACTTAATTTTGATTGATATTGAAATCGAACCAGACTGTTTGAAAAATCATACAAACAAAACCCATTAAAGGGTTAAAGAAATAAACCTTTTTTGTACAGATTAAACTCCCTAACGAGGAGATAACTCAGAAACAGTGACATCATTTGACGGTAACCCTTCCGCTGAAGAAGAAACATTCAAAGGTATCATACTTTCCAACACAAAAGCTGGCCTCGAAGGTGTCGGGAGAGTAAAGGAGTTGCTATTGAGCATGAGTGCAACCGAAGCCATCGTTGGTCTAGTCGCTGCACTCTCTTGAACACATAAGAGACCAATGTGTATGCATCTAATGATCTCGTTTCTTGACCCCGTGGTCAAACTTGGATCTATCACGGTTAATATAACATCTTCTCTCCAGCTTCTCCATACCTGAGAAGACAAAAAAATCATTTAACATGATGATTCAAACCTGAAACACCAGTTTGGTTTCTGTGTACTTACCCAACTAAGAAGATCTTCTGAATCATCATCATCATCACTTCCTCGACCATTGTTGTTTCTCTTACCTGTAATGATCTCAATGACTAACACACCGAAGCTGAAAACGTCTGTTTTCACTGAGAATTGTCCATGCATAGCGTATTCTGGAGCCATGTAACCACTACAAGATAAAATGAAATAAACAGTTTATACATTTGTTTCTTTATGGTTTAATAAAAGCTAGTAAATGGTTAACTTTACTTACTAAGTTCCAGCGATTCTGTTTGTGAATCGATGTGTCATGGTTTGGCCTATGTCAAAGAGTTTAGCTAATCCAAAATCCGCGATTTTCGGGTTCATTTCTTGGTCCAAAAGAATGTTGCTAGCTTTAAGATCACGGTGAATGATCCGGTAACGTGAGTCTTCATGGAGATAAAGAAGTCCTCTAGCAACTCCACCTATCATTTTGTAACGCACTCCCCAATCCAAAACTTGACGCTTCTCAAGATCTGCAACAGCGTTAATGATGACTACAGAGAGAAACAATAATGGTATGTGATCATATGGAGGCAAAAGGAGGAGAAAGTGTACCAAAGATGAAATGGTCAAGACTAGCGTTCTTGATGAACTCATAAACAAGGAGCCTTTCTTGTCCATGTATACAGAAACCTATAAGCCTAACTAAGTTCCTATGCTGAAGCTTTGCAAGTAGTAAGATCTCGTTCTTGAATTCGAGGTCTCCTTGTCCTGAAGTACCTGATAGTCTTTTCACCGCGATTTCTTGTCCATGAGAGAACACACCCTGAAACATTCATCATCCCAAGTTTATGAACAAAACCAAAGCTATTGGTGAGAAGTCATGTCAAAGAAACTTTACCTTATAAACTGAACCAAACCCACCACGTCCAAGTTCGTTTTCTGGTGAGAAGTTATTTGTTGCAGCCTTAAGATTTTCGAAGTCAACTAATAGAGAATCTGTGTTTGAGAACTCATCCTCGGCGACTGATCCAGACAAAGGTGAACTTCCAAGAGCTGAATAAAGCAGACAGTAGTTCTCAGCATAACATCAACAAAGAAAACAAGAACATTGTGTTACTACTACCTTTGACTCTATCTCTAGACTTGTTCTTCTTCCACTTCAAGACCAAACATAAGCAAATAGCAAATAACGCAACAAAAACTATTGGAATGACTATGGCAATAACAACTTTAGATCCACCTTTTCTCTTTCCTGCAATGTAAACATTCACTTTCTTACTCTTAAGACACAAAAACATTTGAAAGAACACACAAAAGACACATTCAAACATTTCTACTTACCTGTTTTCAGAGTTTTTGGTGTTGGTGTTGGTGTTAGTGTTGGTGAGCCAGTACTCTCAGGTGGATCAGGCTCAAGGTCAGAGTCAAGCTCATAGAATCTCCACGTCTCAAACCGGAAGTTACAGCTAGGACAAAACCACCTAAGACCAATCTCAGCATCACAACAACTAGGGATACTCTCAAACCCAAAGATCAAACACTCATTACAATCCTCTTCAGACAAATCCGGCGTGCACTGTGCACTTCCATAGAACCTCCTGTACCCTGGAGAAGCCGAACTGTTCCCTTGAGCATACTTCCTATTCCTTCCACCAGCAGCAGCAACACCTTTGAGCCTATTCAGTAGCTCTCTCTGAAGACGCTCAAACTCATCTATGTTTGATGATATTGTTTCCCCGGCACGATAAGACAGCGTTGGGTCTGTTTCTTTTCTTCCATAGATTGTTCTGTTTGAGTAACGAAACATACACTGCGTGTACCAGACAAGAGCTTGTTTTGAACGTGGACACTGCTCGGTGAGGTTTCTTGCAGCTGCTTGGATACAGCTGAGACAATCATCTCTTTTGACTTCTCTTCTACAAAGACCAATCGCATAAGCTCTTTCTCCGGTTGAGTCTCCGGAGGACAGGTTGTAGAAGCCATAAGGTTTTGATGTTAGTGAGGAGAGTGAGGAGACAAGGCGGTTGAGGTTTCCAGCAAAGGAGCTGTTGGCTGTGAAGTTACCTCGGTCTATACAGTTGAAGTCTGGATCAAACACATAAGTATCTACCTGAGCTAAGGCCTGAAATGGAACAACACAAGCAAAGAAGAAGAAGATAACTCTGACATGTTCCATTGGATAGCTTGAAGGTCTCTTCTTCTTCTGTAAAGGTTGATATAACGTAGACCTTGTAGAGTGTGTTATTTGCACTATTTTAAAAACTGACAGCGGAAGTAACACAACTTGGTGATAAAAAAACGATTATAAAATACAGTAGCAGACATAAGTGGACAAGCTTTGTGAGGTTGTTGGGTCCCCTGCATGATGATAAAGATTCATAGAACTAACAATATAAAAACTAACGAGTTGCTGCAGTGGAATCAGGTCAACGGTGTGTTAAAACTTCATTTAAATAAGAAGTGGTTATTGCTTACTTCTTTCCTCTCAAGTACCAAATATGAACTGAAAAGAAAAAGAAACTGAAAGTGTGACTTTGAATAGTTTTTCAAACCAACTAATCATTCAAACTAATCTTACTATAAATAGTAAACGAAGTTACTAACTTTAACAAAAAAAAAAAAAATCATTGTTTGGAAAATACATTTTATATAAAAATCTCTAAATTTTTTTGGAACCAATGTTTTCTACACTATGTCCAGATCCAGCCCCTGACCCATGGTTCCCGGACAATGGGAACGGCTCAGTTAATGAAGCAACTATCATATGCCCGGACCAAGTCGCAAAAAATTAAACTTACTATAACCGGGATAAACCGAATCAAAAAACTTGTCCGAGTAACCGTTCCACTTTTAAAAACAAACAGAACAGTTTGAAAATCAGTTTCATTGTAAAAGCAGAAACAGGGTAAGTATTTGTGGCATTGTACCCTATGTCGTCTTATCTGTGAAGGATCGGAAGCAGAATGATCATGGCTCTGTTGGTAAGAAAAATGAAATATGTTTCTCAACTCGCATTTGGAATATTTTTCTTAATGGTTCGATCTGTTAAGTCTCTTGCTATACGTAAACAGAACCAGTATGAATCATAACAAACTAATGCTTCCTGAAAATGTTGGTAACTCTGTTTTACTCTCTTCTTTAATTCTTTCTTTGCTTGCACGTTTCTAAACCAGAGAGCAAAGAGGAGATCCTCCTGAAATTTAGGAGAGACGCAAATGTAATTTTAGGTATAGGACAAAAGTAGTCATTGCTGTTTCAGGTTTCCCAAGGTTTTCTTTATAGAAACCTCTTCTCTTCTTTTAAATCAGACTAATTTTTTAAACATTTCTGGGTTTACTGAACTTTCCTTCCATTTTCTTTTCACTCAATCCAGGATCATTCTTTGCTTTCCTTGCAAGGATCATTTCTCTAACAAACCCCTTCCTTCACATTTTGATATTCTTCATTTCCAGTCTCCAATAATGATCATCTTATGCAACAGTCATGAAGATTAGAGCAGCAGAAAGAAGAACCTGATTACTCCAAAATTTCTTAATATATCCTGCCTCAACAGCTTAAAAGACAATGCTAGCTTTCTCAAGGATGGCTAGATTCCCAGGGTTGCTTCAAACTAGAGCTACCGTCTTATTAATCAGAAACTACCATAAACAACCTATCGAAGTTGTCTGGAAGAAACCAGAAAAGGGATGGACAAAGCTAAACTTTGATGGGTCAAGAAGACAAGGACAAGCCAGCATTGGGGGAATATTCAGGAACGACAAAGCAGAGTTCCTTCTCGGATACTCAGAACCCATAGGGGAAGCCACAAGCACCGTGGCAGAATTCGCAGCCCTCAAAAGAGGGCTAGAGCTGGTTCTAGAAAACGGATGGACTGATCTATGGCTCGAAGGAGACGCCAAGATTATTATGGATATCATCTCCAAGAGAGGGAGATTGAGATGTGTAGAAGCAAAAAAGCATGTGAATTATATTAATGTGGTTATGCCTGGTCTTAGCAACTGCGTTTTGAGCCATGTTTACAGAGAAGGGAATCGAGCCGCTGATAAATTTGCTAAGTTAGGACATCAGTTTCAGGATCCTAAAGTCTGGAGACTTCAGCCCCCAGACATAGTCCTACCGATTATGCATGAAGATGCACAAGGTAAGATTGTTCTTAGAACAAAATGAGCCCAAACGAGTAAATAAATTGTGTATATATATCATCAGATTTTGTCAATAACAAGCTAAGAAATGTAAATAGTTATTCACTATTGTAAGATCAGGATATTTCAGACTTTTGTAGCATATGTAAATTGCGTCTATATCAATATATCTTGTAGAAAGCAAGCTCAAATGTGTAAATATTATAAGACAAAGAAAACAGTTGAATAGGAATGCTTCTTTATTATTCATCACCCGGCAACAATCTAAATGACAAATGAATTCCCATTTGCTTCTCTGTATTCTTATCTGTTTATTTCTATATGTTTTTACATTCTGCTAGTCCTTAAAACTGTAACTCAACAGCTGAATCTTGCGGCAAATGAATGGTCTAATTCTCAATGGTCAAGAATCAAGATTGGTACCTCTAGTTCTAGTTATAACCTCGATGCAGCGCTTGAATCTGAAGATGTGCGCTCCCGGATTTCCTTTATAGCTTCGCTGACTTTATGGATCGCCATTTTCTTCACCTGGTTTTGCAGCAATACATATACATAAACAATACTCCTTTTTATTTTATCAAACCAAACTCCTTTACTCAATCTTGTTTAATACTACGGGGGAACTTACCTCAATCTTGTTTGCTTTCGTTTTGACGCTCTGAGGAAGTTGATTAAGCTCCTCCACTCGTTTGATAGATTCAGTAACGTGCTCAGGTGAAAGAAAATTCAGGACCGCATTTACACAAGACTAGCAAAGTATGAAAAAAAAAATTGTTGAAAGAGAGTACTAACTTTGTGAATATAAACAAGGTAAGAGGTTCAGTGCTAAAACTACCTTATTCTTTCTATTTTGGTATGGACATCCAGCAGGTACGATGACTGCTTCCCCAACACATTGATCAAAACTCCATGGTTCAACGTCTGAAGAAACAAAATAAGCGGCATGAAAGTGAGTATGTAATAACACAAATGGTAAGATACAGAAAACTAGAAGAAATGAGGATATGATACTTACCAAACTCTTCCTTAAGCCTTGCTTTGTGATACTCATCAAGATAGTAACTCTGCTCAAGTAATGGATGACTCGCCTACAACAGGGAAAGACATCAATGATTGTTTTCTTGTAGAAGTGTTTAAACTATCAAAACAAAAACTTACTTTTGATTTGGTGGAATCCATGGGTGCTAGCTCGAGATAATGGTTGTTCATATACTCAAGAAGTTTAGAAACATCTTGCGTCTGGAATACATCCCACTGGGCACCACAAGAGTTGCTTAGGCTTTCTTCTACACTGGAGTCATAGGAACTTTCTCTTTCCTCTACCTGAAACCCACTGCCTGAACAGAGTTGTGAAGATTCTGAGTCAGAACTAGAATAGTCGTCCGACAGATCCCTCTGAACATATGACGCGTTATTCCTATCTTGTTTCTTTCCCCTCCCAAATCTGCTCTCCTTCCCCTTTTCTGGGTTTCTAGATCTTACTTTTCCGATATTTTTCATGAGCTTTCTTATTCTGCAGATCTGTTTTGTGGAGACTTGTGTTTCTGTGACAAGCAACAAGATATCAACCTGCAGAGAAAATCAAAAGCTTAAGCAAAATTCAACAGTTTTACTTCTATAGCTTACTATCAATGTAAATCTTTAATATGTAAAGCTAGGAATTGCCAACTATCGGGAAACCTCTGCCAGAAATGAAATGACTCAGAAAACTTACCATGTCACAAGTTTCAAAACCCAACTTCTTCACATAATCAGGCTTTGCATCTTCACCACTCCTGTAGGAAATACCGAGGCATGGACCTAGCTTGGGTGTCTGGATACTGTCAGGTAGGTCGGCAGCTATATTTAGTAGACCACACCTCGGATCCATGTAATGAGGAAGGGGTAATATTCTCAGTATTTCAGCATAATGATTTGGGAACTGTTCTTTAAACAGAGAAGATGAAAGCCATCCATCCAGCTTCAGCCTCTCTTGACAAGTATTAGTCTCAGCCTTTCCTCTCAAAGACCCCAAAAAAATTTGCTTTACCCCAATGTCTATCTGTCATTGAATAAGAAGAATACCAGTTGAGGACAAAAAGGGTGTCAAAATCCATAAAGAGAAAGAGCAGAGTTAACATTTACAGAACACAAGTCACCAACCTCAAACCAATCGATGCAATCAGTTGTATAAGCGTTTTTTCTATTGCTGTTCCTAAGATAGCTACAGAACATGGCTACTGGATCCCAGTTAAGGCTTGCGCCTCCCTTTAACACACTACGAACTATAACAGGATGCCCTTTGCTCCAGTGTGTCTGAAAATGTTCGAAATTGTTTTGTTGAAAATCCGTAACTGTGGGATAGTATAAGAAGTTACCAGTTACGTCTTCACTTCTCCTGGATGCCTCTTTCAAATGGCTGTCACCACTACTATTATTAGATTGCTTTTCTCTTCCAAGACAGAACGGACATTCCAAGTATCTATCTAAGATTTCAGGCAGCTCATAGCAACTGACTATTTCCTCTGCACTGATCTCTAACTTGCTTGTCAGCTCCAGAGAGTATAGACTTCTCAAGGAAAGGTTATTCCTGCACCCTTTGACTTCTTTCAGCTTACCATCCATTAGAGATTGGTCCCGAGCAATAGATAAGGGCGGCTTACAAGATTCTATACCATTCGAGTATTTAACTAACCCAAATTTTCTAGATAAGCTCTCTTGACTCCTGTCTTGATCAGAACTCAGCCTGAGAACAGGGGAGCTGCAGGTGCAATTATTTTGAGAATCCACAATGGCAGAGTCACAACTGTTTCAATTCGGACAGATATTAGATGAATTTGAAAGAGAACAGCTCACAGCAGATTACATATATATGAAAACCTTAACAGTAGAAGAGAACAAGGTAAAAGAGTGAGCACCAGAGTTGTTGATCATCAGACGTTGATTCAGAGCTATGGATTTGACGTTCATCTAGATTTCGCCCTATCAAAGGAAAATCCAAAGATATGAGTGAGTTTAATTTAACAGAACCAGGGGATCCAGAATAAGAGTCTGACTATCAAAACACCT